TCCCTGACTGACCCCATTTTGCTAGGTGTGTTCCTTATGTGTCATACAATTGTTTTACTTGCTTTAAAATGTAATTTTTTGAAATTACTGATTTACTGGACTACTGTTTATGAACTATGAATGTTTGATATATGTTATATGGTTACTTGTTTACACTAGAAATACGATTATGTCGATTAGAAATTCATAGAAATTTTTGCTTACTATGTGAAATGTTTTATTGAGATATTGTTTTGGGTAGGATACTGAAGTATGGAGGTCCAACTCTGATAAAGCTGATAATACCTTACGGGCCTAAGGCGACCCTTGGGTAGGCTCTGAGGCCCCGAGAACTTTCTTGGGTAGGCTTTCAGGCCCCAAGGTACTCCCTTAGGATGACTCCTATGCCCAATGGGTAAAAGGTAGCCCTTATGGATGCAGTTCTGGGGGAACTGCATTTTGGTGTAGGGAGAAAGGTAACTATGAGTTTTAAATTCAGCTTATTGATAACCTTTACGAAACCTTACCAAAACACTTATTGATTGTTTTATCTATTATGTTTTACTTGTACCATTGGAACACACTAAGCCCCTTGCTCACCCTTCTCAAACTGTTCCCCCCCTTTCATATACTTTTGGATAGGCAACCCGAACCAGACACTTTGAGGATAGACACATTTTTACGTAACTTTTTGTTGTAATGTTTATATCTTTCGAACTATTTTATTTACGGTGACATGTGCCCTTATTTTGAAATACTTATGTTTATGATTTTCACTACGATACGAATTATGATGTGTTTTATTTTATTCAGTCACTGACGGATTGATATTTACTTGGTGAAATTTTTATCGTTTTTAACTACGTGTTATTTCTGTTAGATATTGTTTATAATAAGGTTTTAAATTATCGAAAATGTTTTTGGAAATTTTATTGTAATTCGCTAGATCTAGTCGTAATGCATAGGTTGGGTCTAGGTGTTTACGATCACGCTCAGAAGCTAACACATCGCTAGATTAGGAAATAAAACATAATATATATATATACACACACACATGAAATGACATTACATAGTGGCCAAAATAAAACATGTAGACATGATAACAAAGAATTAATACATATATAATATAAAAAATATTATATTAAAAATAATAATTATTTACCACTTTATGATTTCTACGAGACTCGATTCATTCCAAGTTCACCTCTTGTTTGAATAGTCGTATTAAATCGCCCAACTATGGTTTAGGGGGCTTTTTGTGACTATTCTATAATAGATGTTCTTGAATTTATACAAATAAAAACGCCATTGAATATATAAAAAACATAAGAAATAATATACATGTAAAACAAATGTATGTATTAATATATGTATATATGTATATATGTATATATGTATATATGTATAAACAGTAGAGTCGAAATATTATATATATATGTATAGTACCAACGTAAAAAAAATGTGTAAAGGCTCAAATATATTAAGTATAGATGTACATATATTATATGGTACACGCGTGAAATATGATAAACAATATATATATATATATATATATATGCATCAACAATGAAAACATAACTTATATATTTACTTACATAATATATATAATGTGTGAAAAATAGAACAGATATACTCACAAATTCAACAAGGTGATATATACGTAATATACACGTACCAATATATCATGGTGAGCAAACTTAAAAGGAGGAATTTTACAGTCATATCAGCAACTATGGGAAAGAACAAACACCAAAAGCAAGATAAGACCAAAAACATACATGATCAAAATGAAAGTGTTGAGAAATCAAAAGCTCCAAACAAACAGAAATAACTTCTATTTAATGATCAATAAGTAAACGTTACAAAACCTGAGACCATCCTCGCGTAATTAACCCCAACATTAAACTCATAGTTTTCTATCCCAAAACTACGTAGTTTCTGGTTAGATATATAAGCATGAACCAAGGTTAAAATAAGCCTAAGACTTCATTTTAAACTTAAATCCTCTTTTTATCCAAAGTGTAATCCTAAACTCTCCCTCCCTTCTCTCCTATAGGTTATAGAAAACCCAGTTGGTCGTCGTTTGTCGACGTCGACGACCGCCATTGGCTTTCAGGAAAAAGAGAAAAACGGACTCGAATGTTCCTCTCACACTCCCAAACACAAAACTCTCGCTATTTTTACTCAAAAACCCTAAATCTACCAAAGAAAAACAAAGAGTCTACCTCCCATCGCCGACAAACCCACCGTCTGATGGAGTCTTTGTTGAACTATATTGTTCCCCGCTTACCGATGAAGATTTTGACTGGAGAGACCTTTGTTTTGAGGTTTAAATCGAAAGTTAAGTTTTTTTTTTGTTTTTGTTTCGGTTTTTGGTTGTTAGATAGTTGAATTTCTGGTTGTTCTCTTTCTTCTCTCCAAAATATACTCCCCGAAAAAATCCCTCATCTGCAGGAGATGGCTTTCTATTTTATGGAGGTCACAGTTCATCTTATGGACCAGTCGGAAATGAGCACTCAGACGACGAGAACGAGGTGACAACGACAGAGGAGGTCGGCACTGCTTTGGTAGTTGGGGGCATTAAATGGCACAATTAATGCCCCAGATCTTCCGGGATAATGTTGGTTCAGCTTGAAAACAACGACGGCGATGGCCCGGCATCGACGGCAGTGAGGAGTTGATGCGATGGTTTTTCCCTAATTGTGTGATGAATCTGGACCATTAGACGCCTTCAGATCTAAGGGATGATGTTGAATGATGGCTTGTATGTTGGGTTACTTACTTGTAAATTGAGTTGGATCTCTTCTTTGTAACATGTGGACCTGAAAACAATACAAAAAAAATTAATTTTTTTTCTTTTTGTTAATTTTATCTATTTAATTATTATTAATTATTATAATAGCAATATATTATAAAATTTTAAAAATATTACCTAAACTAAGAAAACCGGAACCCACATGCATTTAACAATTAAAAATGCTTACTAATCAAATCTAAATCATATACTAACATAAAATTATTTATATTAAAACTACAAGTAAAATTAACAACATTTACTTAATCTAATATAATATCGAAAGAGAGAAAATATTTGAGTTAAATCTTGGACGAAATAAGTGTCTAAGATTAATAAATCCAAATTAATTATGTGAAAACAAAAAGGGGAAATTGAAGAGCCCATTGCCAGCCTCTGATTAAAGATGCATCTTATTATTGTTGTTGCTTTGTCAATTTCAGCATGCTCAATTACTTGAAAGAAACAAATACATTAAATATTTTGGTCTACCTATGCTTAGGTATATGTTTTAAATAATTTAGTAAAGATTAAATCGTAATACCATCAAATACCAAATAATATGTGCTAGATTCATTGCATTATCGAGGAAGAAGTGCCTTTGACATATTTTCCACTAGGTTGACCATAATTTTGAGTTTGACAGTTTAATTATATATAGGGATGAGCATAAGACCTGAATCTGACGAGTTTCGACTCGATTTTTTTAAAACAAATTAGTTCGGGTCGGGTCGGATTTAGGGTGAAAGTATGCATCATCTCGGGAGCCATTGCCCTTCTAATTTTTTATTATTAAAAATATATGGGTAAATATTAAATTAGGGCTCTAAATTCTATTTTATTTTGATTTTATTCCCCTCATTTTCTATGGTTAATTATATTTTGCCTCTTCATTTTCTATTATTAATTATACTTTATCTAAAATCTTGGCTCTATCCCTATGTTTCTCTACCAAAAAAGAGGCTAATCGCTAACAACCGACAAGACCAATTTATTCCCATCAATAAAGCTAAGTCCATGTACCTAATTAGACCACGCAAAAATTCATGTATCAAATTAAACATTGAAGTTAAGTTTAACTACCTAATTGAATAAAAAAATTAAATATCAAATTTAAGTACTAAAATATATAAATAATCTTTATAATTATAACATTTGTAATTATAATAAATGATTAAAAGGACTAAATTAAATAACTAACTCATAATTGTTTCGAAATGAGTTCAGTTATATTAAATCATTACAAACATTGTATTGGTTTTTGTGTGTCCAAAATTTATTTCTTATAATCTAAATATACGAATTAAGTGATCTCTGTAATAAAAAAATTATTGTTATTCGTTGAGGATCTAAGTTTGAGCACTACAGATGTCATAGATATAAGCATTCAACATCGAAAGGTTCAGAGTTATATTTAAACAAATATTATCTTGTATTTATCTCATATTAATAATAATAAATCATTTTGTTTTCTTTGGATTTGGAATTTTTCGTATTTAATAAATTGAGTATGTCTATCAGTGTCAAGGGGTACTATGCATTTTGATTGGTAGTGAGGTCACCACCACGTGGCACCCAATGTTTGGCTAATCCTTTCACTTTCTGTGGTTAAATCCTCGTATTTAATATGTGGTGGATGTATGTATACTTCAAAGATGTTGTGTAAATTAATTTTTATTAGTTGATAAATTTTTAGAAATTATTTATTGTAAATATAAAATAAATAAATAATATTATTTATTATAAAAATTTAATATTATTGTTTTAAAAATATTAGAATAATTTATTTAATATTATTTATGTCAATATTATTAAAATCTAAGATTTGACTATCAGATCTATTTAACATGTTGACCTACAAATGATCAATAATAGTCTTATGTCTGACACCACTAGACTAGAATCATTATAAACAACCATCAACACAATGAAGAGAGGGGATGGAACCTCATTGAGCCCTATACAAGCTTCTTCTTCTTCACCCTCATGATCATTTCTTTTTCATGGAGAAATATCGATCAACAAATGTCTTCTCATCGGTTGTTTCTCTTCAAGGACGAAATTATACTTCATCTCGGGAGCCACTATCCTCCTGATTTTTTATTATTAAAAAATATATGGGTAATATTAAATTATGGCTCTAAATTTTAATTTATTTTTATTTTGTTCCCCTCATTTTCTATGGTTAATTATACTTTCCCCTTCATTTTCTATTATTAATTATACTTTGTCTAGAATCTTGGCTTTGTCCCTAATTCTCTCTACCCAAATTAGAAGAGGTGAACCGTTAACGACCGACAAGACCAAATTATTCCATCAATAAAGCTAAGTCCATGTACCTAATTATACCACACAAAAATTCATGTATCAAATTAAACATTGAAGTTAAGTTTAACTACCTAATTGAATAAATAAAAAAATAAATATCAAATTTAAATACTAAAATGTATAAATCATCTTTATAATTATAACATTTGTAATTATAATAAATGATTACGAGGACTAAATTAAATAACTAACTCGATAATTGTTTCAACTCGAAATGAGTTTAGTTAAATTAAATCATTACAAACATTGAATTAGTTTTTTTGTGTCCAAAATTTATTTCTTATTAATTTCTTATTATTCAAATGTACGAATTTAGTAGTTTTCATGGTAAATAAATTGTTATTATTTTTTTGCTTCTGAGTTCTAGCACTACAAATGTTATAGGTGTTAGTGTTCAATATCGAAAAGTTAAAAGTTATATTTAAACAAATATTATTTTGTACTTATCTCATATTAATAAAAAAATCATTTTGTTTTCTTTGGATCAAGAATTTTTCGTATTTAATAAATTTAGTATGTATATCATTGACCATTGTCAAGGAGTACTAGGCACCTTGATTGGTAGTGAGGTCACCACCACGTGGCATCCAATGTTTGGCTAATTCTTTCACTTTCCCTGGTTAAACCCTCGTATTTAATGTGTATCATTGACCATTGTCAAGGAGTACTAGGCACTTTGATTGGTAGTGAGGTCACCACCACGTGGCACCCAATGTTTGGCTAATTCTTTCACTTTCCGTGGTTAAACCCTCGTATTTAATATGTGGCGGATGTATGTATACTTTGAAAGATGTTTTGTAAATTATTTTTCATAAATTTTTAGAAATTATTTATTGTAAATATAAAATATAATAAATAATATTATTTATTATAAAAACTTAATATTATTATTTTAAAAATATTAGAATAATTTATTTTATACTATTTATGTCAATATTATTATTAAAATATTATTTCTATAATTTTATAAATAAAAATATTAACTCTAGTATATTCTATTAAAATAAAAATATGATAAATTATATTGAATATCTATAAAAATAAAAATATTATATTATATTTAAAAATTATTAATAAATATATTTTAAGGAATTTTTATAATATTATTAAACTATATATTAATATTAAATACATAAATAAAAGCATTTACTATTAAAAATTCAATAATATTATTTTTAAGAAATTAATAAATAATATAACTTTTATTAATAATTTATTATATATTATTAAAATAAGAATATAATGGTATCAAATATTATTATAATATAATTGAGTATATTATTGTAATAATATTATTATTATATTATTAAAAATATTAATAAATATATATTAAATATGTTAATAATTAATATTTTTATTAAAATAATACTAAAATATCATATTAATATTAAATTTATAAAACAATATTATTTTGAGTATTTATACTTTGAAGTGAAAAGTTTAGAAAATGACTTACGAAAAATTAAACCGCAAGTCATTTTCCAGAAAATGCAAAGGAAATTATGTTGACCAGGAAAATGTTTTACATTGATCAATCTGTTTTCCTCCAACCAAACATTGAAAAGTGAGAAAAACGTTTTCCGGAAAATGTTTTACGTGAAACAAACGGACCCTGAGTATATATTTATTTTAAAATTTAAATTTTTATATTAATTGTTCATTTTATTGGTAGTGCATATACTAAAATTTTATTTATGTTTGTCTTATATAACAAATTGTTGGACAAAATCGTTAATCCAAGAATAATATAGAGAATAAAATAATAATAAATAATATTCAAATATCATTATAAGTAATTAATGATAACAAACGAATTTACTATGTTTTAGAATTGTTAAAAGTATAATAATTCGAGACCATAATCATACTCAAAAAGATAAACAAATCAGATTAAACTTCTTAAAAAAAGATAAAATAAATAGATAAAAAATTCTATTTTCTTGATTGATCTTTTAATCGGAATCAGTTGATGTTTGTCGCCACACAGTTTCCTTAAGAAAAATTTTCGGTCACTCCTTAGATGCTCGAGATCGTTGGTCATCTGTCTCCCAAGATATAACAACTAGATGACCAACTACAATAGCACAACAATAGAGATCACAAACGATACTTGCCCTCGACTATCACTGGAAAACTAGAGAGAAAAAATATTTTTCAAGAAAGTAAAATTTCTTGAATTTTGTGATGTAAAAAAAACCTCTAAAACTTTTCAAGTTGTGAATAACCTAGTAGCAGGTTAACTCATTATTTAGAGGAGATTTTCAAGAGAGATGTACTCAAACTAAATATCTTTTAATATTCAAATTTAAACAGATAATAATATCTTTAAATTTAAAATATTCAAAAGATAAAGTGACATTTTATTATTCGAACTTAAATATATATTATTTTAATTTGAAATATTGAAAATGATATAATTATCTTTAATATTCAAAGTTAAATAGGTAACAAATATCTTTTAATTTGACATTCAAAGAATAATTATTCTACTAATATTCAAATAAAAATATATTTTAATTTATAATATTCGAAAGGATCATTAATTTAATTTAAATATTAAATTCATAAGTGAAATCCACTCTTTTTTCCAACAAAAATTTCAGTATTAATACATATGTATATATCTTAAAAAATATTTTTAGATCCGTCACTACATTTGATATTAACTATAAATTTGTCTTTCAACTACAATATATTCTAGCTGCAATAACCGGTATTTAATTTTCCCCTCGATTTTAAAACTATGAGAAATGTACTCAATTTAATTATACTTTTTATTTACAAATAGAAACTTTTATAATTCTACAGATAATGTTAAGTCGGGTGGATTAACTAAGGTTACATAAATAAGTAGCTTCCTTTTCTACAGGTTAGGTTACATAAATAAGTAGCTGTTAACATGATAAAAAGTGCAGCCCCTACCCAGAGGGTATGTCATACCCCCAAGAATTTATTTAAAATTAATTAATTATTTTTTCAAGCTAAACTATAAATTTTTAAAATTTTGACCTAAATTCGAAAGGTTTTGGAAATTCATGGACTTAACCCCGAATTAAACCATTTTTTTATCAACTTAAAAAATTGAAAAATGAAGGAGTTGGTGGCTAAGGGGATTTGAACCCCTACCACCCGAGATGGACACCCATGCCCTAGCACCAGGCTAGGGAACTGTTTGGGTATAATTTTAAAAAACATATTTTTTAATATTTTTTTCGTTACCTTGTGTTACCCAAATTGAAACCCCACCCTCCCCGTGTTTTAACTCATTTTCCCCTAGGCAAATTAGCTCCTCGTCGTCCAAGCTCCGGCCAGCGGTGCAGATCACTGCCACCCCTATCCGACGCTCCTGGCCTCCGCGAAGCAACCCCGACCAACCCTATTCCAAAATCGGCCACCGATTGAAAAAAAAAAACGAGAATAAACCGCTCGTGCATACCGTTTGTTTTTTTCGTCGTTTTAAGACGCCGTGCTCGTCGGGTTGCCTCACCGCCACCACCTCTGCACTCCCCGTAATCGTCTGCTTCAAACCCAGCCTGTGGATCGCCGCATCGTTGTCGTTTCCTCCTCCAATCGTCTTTGGGTAAGTTCGGTTGTATTTCCGGTTGTTTGGTTTAGTTTATGGCATTTTTAGGTGAAATTGTTGGTTGCAATTGATGTTTGGCGTACTCATGAGAAATCGGTTGTCCAACCCCAACCCTGCCATCGTCTCTCGCACCGCCGCGTGTGCGTGGGGACAAGGCTTGTCCCCACTCTGGTTTCTTCTAGAAACCAGTCCAGCCGGTCTGGACCAGCCTAAACTGGCCCGACCCGAACCGTTGACCTGACCCAACCCAAACTGTTTGACTCGACCCGTTAACTTTGACTCGAAAAGTCATATTTTATGTTTTTCGACATCCTGAGTCCGAATCTGAAGTCCGTTTTGCCAATTTCAAACCCGAAAGTCTCCTAATTGACTTGTAAACTTGAAAATGCATATTTATTTAAGTGTTTTAATTTAGTTAATTGAACCAAATGGACAAGAACTAATTATTATTATCGTATGTTAAATGTACTTGGGAATCTCCTGACTATTTCACTGCTCGACCCAGTTCCTCCCGATCCGTTCGTCCTCGACAGGCTGTGAATACCCGTATAGTTTTGTAACCCTGTTAGTTATTTTGTTTAGAATATTATTCCGAATATGACCTTGTTCTGATATGACTTAGGTTCCTGTTCAATCGAAGAGCCTAGTGAAGTCGGTGTTAGATAAATCTCCCGGACTGACCCGTTTTGTGAGGTGTGTTCCTTGTTTGCAATATAATTATTTTAAATATATGTTTGAAATCTCATGTGCACATGATTATTTTCTCTGATTTGACTAATGTATAAATTACCTGTTTTGAAACCTTATTCCTTATTTACTGAAATGTAAAGCATGATTGCCTAAACTATGATTTTTGGTTACTGTTTTACTGAGCTAATGATCTGTCTGAACTCTGATTTATTGCTACTACTGTTTATTGTCTGAAAAATGTTTTATTCGGGGCACTCTGGTATCTGGTATGAAGAGTCTGGCAGGTTCAGTCACTGTTGGTAATTCCTTGGATAGGTTCAGCACCTACTGGCAATTTCGTATGGACTTAAGGCGACCCTTGGGTAGGCTCTACGGCCTCGAGATTGTTCTTGGGTAAGCCTCTGTGGCCCTGAGAACTGTCTTGGGTAGGCTCTCAGGCCCCAAGGTACTTCCTTAGGTTGTGCAGTTCTGGGAAACTGCATATGGCAATCGGTTGGAGGACGATTAAGAGTTTTTCAATTAAAAACTCTTATGATGTTTTAATGACTGTGATCTGTACTGATTTTAAAAAGCATAAATGTATTTTTTATTTCTGCACTGTTGGGACACACTGAGCTTCTAGCTCACTTTTCAAATTGTTTTACCCCCTTTAAGATATTCTCGGATAGGCACTCCGTATCAGGCACTTTGAGGATTAGCACATTTAGTACAGATCTTTTTGTTATAATGTTTCTATCTTCCGAATTGCTTTTAGTTTTGGTGAAATGTTTCTTATTTTTGAAGTACTTATCTTTTTATGATGGTTACTGCTTTTGCTACTGATATTTGATTTACTGTGCTCTGGATTTATTACATGTTTTATTTTACCTGGTCGTTTTTAGTTTTATAATTACGAGTTGGTTTTTATCGTTAATTATTATACTTTTATAAATGTCATTTGTAATATGATATTAAATTATCGAATAATGTTTTTGGAAAATGTCTTTAAGATTCTTTCGTGTAATCTGCTAGACTTAGTCGAAATACATAGGTTGAGTCTAGGGGTTACATTTAATTGGTATCAGAGCTTTTAGCTTTTAAACCTTGGACTGTGAATGGGTCTAAACTAAAAATACGGTTTTGAAATATTTTACAAAACAAGTCATTAAGGCCATGTCACAAAGTTTTTACTAGTTTAATTGAGTTCGGGACTCCAAGTGTCAATCTAACCTTAGGTTTTATCTTCTGTAGTAAACTTTAGATAGATCAATATGAATGTTAGACGTAGTCGTCGTCCTAATCGTGGGTAAGGTCGAGCGACTAGATTTATAGACCTGATGGAGGAGATACGTGTAGATCCTTTGCATCTGATAGATGATCATGCTACTACGATCCAGACGGATTTGCCTCCTGCCTCTGGTATTGGCTTGACTACTCCGATTAGAGGAGTGACCGTTATTAAGCCCGAGTCTATTAGAGTTGTATTAGATGAGAATCTTGGTAGACAGTTTCTTCAGTTAATTCAGGGAGCGGTCAGAGCTGTTAACGTTGTACCCGAGGTCCTCATCTATCAGACTCTGATTACTAATGGAGTGAGCACGTTTAGTGCCCTTATTGGTGGAGCCCCGACTAAGGCCAAAGATTGGCTCAGTAGTACTGAGCGACGCATGGATTAGCTAGGTTTAGATCTGTAATGACGTTTTTTAGGTGCAATTTCCATGTTGGACGAGAATGGCCACACTTGTGGGAGTCTGTGGTCAGCAGTGTTCCAGCCTATCGTTTGACATGGGATTTATTTAGGGAGTGCTTTAAGAGTCGTTTTATGTGAGAGTGTTATCTAGCTCAGAGACAACAACAGTTTTAGGACTTGGTTTAGGGAGATATGACCGTTTCTGAGTACGAGAGCGAGTTCTTGAAATTGTTGAAGTATGGATTCAGTCTGGTACCTACCTAGAGAGATAGGTGTCAGAAGTTTCCTCAAGGACTCTTATATGAATTGTGTCATCTGGTAGTTACTCATCAGGATGAGGTATTCGATATTGTAGTTGGAAGAACAAAAGACATGGAGGAAGTCGAGGCTTCTGCACCTGATAGTGATAGAGTAGATTAGGATCGATCTAGGAGGCCTTCTGGTCACTATACGCCTTCCGCACGCCCTATTAAAGGAATTGTACGGCTGCTCATTAACTGAGTTATTCTAGTTCGAGGCTTACGCCTCCTCCACCTACTGTAGCTAGTTGATATAATTCTGCATATTTCACTCTGGAATTGAGTTGAGAGTTCTGTGGAAATCGACATGGGGGAGAGTGTCGTAAGAAGATGGGTACTTATTTTCGTTGTGGATCTAGTAAGCATTTTCTGAGGAATTGTCTGCACCCCAGCTCCTGTCGAACAGATACCTTCTCAGACTCCTATGTGTTCTCAGGCCTCTGTTCAGACTCCAGCTAGGAGTCATAGTCAGGTTAAGACTTCCGACTCTGTTTCTAGAGTCGATAGTAGAGCTCGATCGCAGAGTAGAGGACCAACTACTTCTGAGGCTCGACAACCTGCTCTTGTTTATTCTGTCCGACGTTCTGGTGATTGAATTGAGCCCGAGACTTCTGCATGTATATTTATTTTTATTTCTGTTTCATGCCATGCATTTCTAACAACACCCTTTCTATACCTGAATTTCGTATCTTAAGATCCACAGACTTTTTATTAAGACATCGAGACCCTTGTTTCTGCTCTGAGTTTAGTAAAATTCTTCGTTATTGTAAATAGAGTAATTAGCTCTTGTCCAATAAAAGAGCATTTAGAGACCTAGTTTCACTTTTTATTCGACTCTGGTGAATTTCGAGGACGAAATTCTTTTAAAGGGAGGAGAATTGTCATACCCTAAGAATTTATTTAAAATTAATTAATTATTTTTTCGTAATAAAATGTAAATTTTTAAAATTTATGACCTAAATTTGAAAGGTTTTGGGAATTCAGGGACTTAACCCCAAATTAAACCATTTTTTCTGATCAACTTAAAAAATAAAAAATGATAGAGTTGGTGGCTGAGAGGATTTGAACCCCTGTAACTCGGGATGGGCACCCATGCCCTAGCCACCAGGCTAGGGCACTGTTTGGGTATAATTTTAATAAATATATGTTTTAATTTTTTTTCGTTACCACATGTTACCCAGACTGAAACCCCTCCCTCTCCATGTTTTAACTCATTTTCCCCTCGGAAAATTACCTCCTCGTCGTCCCAGCTACGGCCAACGGTGTAGATCATTGCCACCCCCATCCGGCGTGTAAGACCTCTACGAAGCAACCCCATTCTGAAATCAACCACTGGTTGAGTGAAATCGAGAGTAAACCGCTCGTGTCTACCGTTCTTTTTTTTCGTCGTTTCAAGCCGTCGTGCTCGTCGAGTTGCCTCACCATCACCACCTCCGCACTCCCCATCGTCGTCTGCTCTAAATCCAGCCTGTGGGTCGTCGTATCGTCGTTGTTTCCTCTTCCGATCATCGTTGGGTAAGTCCGGTTGTATTTCTAGTTATTTGGTTTGGTTTATGGCCTTTTTAGGTGAAATTGTAGGTTGCAATTGATGTTTGTGTACTCAGGAGAAATCGGCCATCAACCCCCGACCCTACTGCCGTCTCACGCACTCCCACGCGGTGTCGCATGCTCGTGGGGCTTATCCCTATGGTTTCTTCTAGAAACCGATCCAGCAGGTCTGGACTGGCCTGAACTGGCCCAACCCGACCCGAACCATTGACCCGACCCAAACTGTTTGACCCGACCCATTAAGTTCAACCAGAGTTGACTTTGACCCGAAAAGGCATATTTTTTAAAAAGTCATATTTTATGTTTTTCGGTGTCTTGAGCCCGAATACGAAGTCCGTTTTGCCAAATTCAAACCCGAAAGTCTCCGACTTGACCCATAAACCAGAAAAATGCATATTTATTTAAGTGTTTTAATTCAGTTAATTAAACCGAATGGACAAGGACTAATTATTGTTATGGTATGTTAAAGGTACTCGGGGATCTCTTGATTATTTCACTACTCGACCCGGTTCCTCCCGATCCGTTCGTCCTCGAGAGGTCGTGAATATCCATATAGTTCTGTAACCCTGCTAGTTATTCTGTTTAGAATATTATTCCAAATATGACCTTGTTCTAATATGGCTTAGGTTTCTGTTCAGTCGAAGAGCCAAATGAAGCCGGTGTTAGATAAATCTTCTGGAATGACCCATTTTGCAAGGTGTGTTCCTTGTCCGCAATATAACTGTTTTAAATACATGTTTGAAATCTCATGTGCACATGATTTTTTTCTCTGATTTGACTACTGTGTAAATTATCTGTTTTGAAACCTTATTCCTACTTTACTAAAATGTAAAGCATGATTGTTTGAACTATGATTTTTGGTTGTTGTTTTACTGAATTGATGATCTGTCTGAACTCTGATTTATTGCTATTACTGGTTACTGTCTGAAAAATGTTTTATTCGGGGCACTCTGGGATCTGGTATGAAGAGTCTGGGAGGTTCAGTCGTTGTTGGTAATTCCTTAGATAGGTTCAGCACCGACTGGTAATTCCTTATGGACCAAAGGCGACCCATGGGTAGGCTCTGCGGCCCCAAGATTGTTCTTGGGTAAGCCTCCATGGCCCCGAGAATTGTCTTGGGTAGGCTCTCATGCCCCAAGGTAATCCCTTAGGTTGTGCAGTTCTAGGGAACTGCATATCCTGTTCGGTTGGAGGACGATTCATAGTTTTTAAATTAAAAACTCTTATGATGTTTTAATGATTGTGATCTGTACTGATTTTAAAAAGCATAACTGTATGTTTTTATTTCTGCACTGTTGGGACTCACTAAGCCTCTAGCTCACTTTTCAAACTGTTTTACCCCTTTCAGATATTCTCTGATAGGCACTCTGTATCAGGCACTTGGAGGATTGGCACATTTAGTACATATTTTTTTTTGTAATGTTTTTATCTTCCGAACTGTTTTTAATTATGGTGACATGTGCCTTATTTTTGAAGTACTTATCTTTTTATGATTGTTCCTGCTTTTGCTACTGATGTTTGATTTACTGTGCTCCGGATTTTTTACATGTTTTATTTTACCTGGTTGCTTTTAATTTTATAATTACGAGTTGGGTTTTATCATTAATTATTATACTTTTATAAATGACATTTGTAATATGATATTAAATTATCGAATAACATTTTTGGAAAATGTCTTTAAGAATATTTTGTGTAATCCGCTAGACTTAGTCGAAATGTAAAGGCTGAGTTTAAGGGGTTACAGGGTAATATGTGACCCCAAAACCTTGGTGGTGGGGGCATGGACTCGACGGATCCGCCCAAACTGGCCGCTCCATATCAATCGCCATCTCTAATCTGTCCACATATAAGGCTGATTGAAGGAGTTTGCCAATAAAAATTGTTAGACAAATATTTCACAACTAGACCATCCCTAACCATATTATGATTAATATTTTAATATCAATGACTTTTATATCTATAATACCTTGTTTCATTTCCGGATTATGATTTTCTTTAGGAGGGAAATTATGCTAATTTGATTTTGAAAACAGTTGACGGGAATAAGATGATTATGTCAATCGTAAACGATTCACTCTCTTGATCTATAAGAAACCCTTTTCCCGTCATTAGGGTTTATATGCCGACCTTTTGTTGATATCAGATCACTCAGGGTCATCATTATCTAGACTTAAGCCAACAAAATATATAAATATAGCTTTTAATTAACAGATCTAACTCTGACAGATCTTTTAAGTTTATTGAAGATCTTATCAAGGATCTTGATAAGCAGGTGAGGGTGTTGTATATCTGAAAAAGCTATATCTCCGGCGGTATAACATGATTAAATCAAAAAGGGTGAGAGAGATGAAATAAAGTTAGAGTGGAAGCATTAAGTTACAATGTTGAAAAAGATCAGGTTCCCAAAGGGAGAATTAAGCTCACAGTTGGGGTAGGGCCTAGAGACGGCTTGCCATTAGTTGGATCCCAAACTAAGCTGATGACGGCTCTTTCAGTTTCAATGCAGCGGTTTACATCAACCTCACTCACCTCTCCCACCTATATATACACACACTTCAATTTCATCTTCTAATCAAACTGATAAACTTATTTTTTATCTTGCCTCAAACACCATGACAATGGCATCTCCAAGCAATGCTTCTGTTCTAATTTTCTCTTGTTTTCTTGCCATTTCGCTCTCGGTCTCTGGTCGACCAGCCACTTTCCTCGAAGATTTTAGAATCACTTGGTCCGATTCCCACATCAGGCAAATCGATGGAGGGAGGGCCATCCAACTTGTTCTAGACCAAAATTCAGGTTATACTTTTCCAAGGGGTCACTTTTTTTAAAGTAAAAATTTGTTATAAAATTAAACCACATAGGTTACCCTTAATAATCTGTGTTATTCATTCTTCTTCAGGCTGTGGATTTGCTTCCAAAAGGCAATATCTGTTTGGACGTGTCAGTATGAAGATCAAGCTCATCCCAGGTGACTCTGCCGGAACAGTCACTGCCTTTTACGTACGTAACAACTATCGACCTAATCTTCAACGAAATTTTGAAACAATGAAAATAATTGGTTTTTCATTATAATCTGGATTGTAGATGAATTCTGATACAGACACCGTAAGAGATGAGCTAGATTTCGAGTTCTTGGGAAACCGAACCGGGCAGCCTTATACTGTCCAAACCAACATCTATGCTCATGGAAAAGGTGATAGAGAACCTCTGGTTTGATCCTGATGCAGATTTCCATACTTACACAATCATGTGGAACCATCATCATATTGTGTAAATTTTGAAAAGACAATAATTAATAAGATACCAAGTGTTAATCGTGTTAGATTGATATTCGGGTGTGTGATTTTTCGTAGGTTTTATGTTGATGAAGTGCCAATCAGAGTGTACAAGAACAATGAAGCAAGAAACATCCCATACCCAAAAATGCAGCCTATGGGGGTGTATTCAACACTGTGGGAAGCCGATAATTGGGCAACAAGGGGAGGGCTAGAGAAAATTGATTGGAGCAAAGCTCCTTTCTTAGCTTACTACAAGGACTTTGACATTGAAGGATGTCCGGTTCCAGGGCCAGCAAACTGTGCCACCAACGCTGGGAACTGGTGGGAGGGCACTGCTTATCAAGCTCTAGATGCCATGGAAGCTAGGAGATTCAGGTGGGTTCGTATGAACCACATGATCTATGATTACTGCACCGACAAATCACGGTACCCGGTTACCCCACGAGAGTGCATGGCCGGCATCTGAAACACCATCTAAAGTATGATATACCATACGTTTTCATACGTATATGCCTCTCCCTATGTACCATAATAGTGTTATATATGTTATAAGAGGACCACGCAAAAATTCGGGTGATAAAAAGAGAAATAGATAGCTCTTGTGTGCAAATTATTTGTGGAACAGGATTGGGCAAAAGTCAATTCCTATTTGTAGAGAATTTATCTCTCTGTATTTGGTGCATATTATTTTTTTCCCAATAAAAAAAGCTAGTAAAGTGTATAATTGCTTAATTTAACTTTGGTATTCTTTTTCCATTATTATTATGGCATCCAATTCTCTAGTTAACATAACAGCAAATAATAATTTTATTACAATCTTTTTTAGAAAGTTTAGATCATTTATGACTTGTATTATAAGTAAGGATGACAGACGAGTATAATTTTTTGGATTTTGTATTGTATTTGTTTCAATTGGGGCGGATATGGATATAAACTTAGTGGGTAATGACTGGTGTATATGTAAAAAGTCATACCCAATGTGCGTAGAGGATGAGTTTGAGACCTTATCCGTCCTGCATCCGTCTACCTCACATCCATCAGCCCAGTAACTACCTATCATATAAATTTTAGATCATTATGAATTTAGGTATAATTTCAAAGACTATTATGTAAATCTTAAGGTTTTATAGGACATGACTTGTAATTTAACCAAATGTTAGGTTATAAACCTTTATTATTCTTCTTGATGGACTCGTTTGTTTTATGTTTTTTTACTTATATAATCTGTGAGGTTGTTGTCAGGCAGGAATAGGCGAGTGCAGGTGAGTATGAGATAGGTGGTGGGTATTCAGTTGATAATTGGTATGATGATGAATTTGAGAATGTGCACTCGTGGACAGGTGTAAATTTAAAATTTTTATCCGTCATGGGTTGTGTGTACTAAGTATGTGATGGATACGAAATATTAGGTGGGTATGAGGACGACAGAAGAGATATATGCACTCGCCATTCGGTTTGTCATCCCTAAGAAAAGAAAGATGTTGACGCTGATAAAGAGAGAGTTTTGCAGTAATGGCTCATGGGTCAAAAAGGGGGAAAAAGCCTCCAGCGTTCTTAGCTTAATGTGATAATTGAATGCTTTATAGATAGATTGTAAAGAAGATGAATCAGCGTGGGGTAATAGATTAAGACTTATGAGGTCTCTAATTCTTTGTGGCATTGATTTTCACTGCAATTCACTATGAACAGTACGGACAATTCCCAAACAGCACATTAAATGACCTGCAACACAAGTACTCACAACCATAAACCACGTTACTAAGGAGAAAATGAAAGTAAGCATTGTATGATATTGTGATGGAAAAGACCCCTAGAGCTAGTGTAGCCTTTCAAGGAAATTGAAGATCGGATTGTGTTTTCAAACTGTTCCTAAATAATCTACACATCAAAATGTGAAGATAAATTTGGAAGGGGAGAAACATATAATAACATAATATGCTCATCTTAATAGATAATCAGCTAATTAGAATGCGGAGTATGTACAAACAATCAAAGACCATTCAGTTTACCATGCATGAAAAGAGAGTTCCAACAATTAAGTCTAATGGATGAAAGCAGTTCCTACAATTATTGGACAACGTTTTGGATAATGTATTTATGATTCTAAAAGCTTGGTAAACACTACAGATGCATCTAAATCCCATAAGAAATCCAAATTACATGCAATCTACATTGCCCCTTCAACTTTTATCTAGGTCTCTTTTGATCGGACTAGAGAAGTAGTGGTCCAGTACCTAGCTAGTTGCAACTGAAGAATATGAGGCTAGTAACAATTGATCCCACCTCTATGCAAGTGCAGTAGTGTACCAGATCAATAAGACACAAAGAAGGACATAAACAGGAATTAATTGACCCACATTGTTTGCAGGTTTGACTCATTTGGGTGGACAGTTAGCCCAATGCCAGAAGCAGGAAACTATAGAAGCCATTAAATTTTGACTGATAACAACACATAGCGAATGGGAAATAAAATTATACTCCGATGTGAAGTAGATTAAATTATACAAGTACACTAGAATTCCACATACTGCCTTGTAGTTGTGATTGAACGCAACGAGTCACTAGGCACACACCATGGAAAGCCTTACTGCAACTGTTATTCTCACAATTATAATCAGTTGCACTTCGACTTCCAGACCTAGGTTCAGCAAGCGAATGTTCTGAGACATCTAAAGCATGTAAAGCAATACCAATGGGGAGATATTGAGCATAACAGATTCCACATTCATTTAGATGGTTGTTCTTCTCTTCATCAGCTGGCCTTGGCAATTGGGTGTTCAGAAGACACTCAAGATTTTCAAACAAGGCATTTTCTCTCACCCTAAACAATAAATCACACTATGTAAAAATAATAAATATAAAAGACAGAACAGAGGAAGTCTAAAAGACATCAAGGCCTACATTGGAAGAATTAGGACAAAAAAGATAGGAGACGAACCGATGAAACCATTGGAGAAACTTTAGGATTAGTGTTCTCTAATCCGTTTAGTATGAATGAAATACAATTTATTAGTGTAAAGCATTTTTTTGGAACTTATAAATATCATTTTTATATTTATATAAGAATATCATTATAAATAAATTCATAAGTTTGTTAATTGTCTGTTTTAATCAATAATTTTACAATAAACCATGGCAATAGGATCTATAGTTTACTGAATTGAATTGCTAGTATTCCCAAATTCGGGACTTCTGTACCAATTCGAAAACTATGTTCAGAGGAAAAACTTCAAATATTTAATAATTATCTTTTATTTAAATATTATATTATATAATTATTTTTTTTTAAAAATCACCCACAAGCGTTGGTGTTAAGAGTTCTGGTAAGTATTATCTATATGTATTCTAAAAAATATTAATTTGTTAGAAATCTTTGGTAAATGATACTAAAAAGATTTTTTCAACTTAATAATAATTGTTTTTTCCCTTTCTTTCTAAAAGCTATGTTTGATGTTTTTGACCAAGAATCATGCTAGAAATCTCCCAGAATCCAGTTCCTTTTAAACATACTTTTTCAATGGTATTATTATTATTATTTCTGCCTTTTAATATTGAAGGCAAAGTTTCCATCTTATATGTAAGTCAAAAGTTTGAAAATAAATGGAGTAAATTAATAAAAACCAGTCAATTCAGGCTTCCTACATAAATTATCAAGGTATATCAATATAATGATGAGAAAGTTGCATGCACTTAAAAGATGACGATGATGCCATTCTTGTTTTAAAAGTACTCATTTCATGCTGTAATTTGATGTTGTGAATGGTCTCACCTCAATTCATGCACTTACATGATGATGATGCACTTATAAGATTTATTTATGAAGTCTAAAATTCATTAGTTAATTATGAATGAATAATCTTAAAATAAAATTATTTATTTTTTAGTAAAATTTTTTTAAAAAAAAAAGTAAAATTATTTAAATTCATTGAATGACTATATTCTTAGTGCAATAAGATTTGGGTTAGGTTTGAATGACTGGAGTTTCTCTGGGTTGCTTCTTTTACAAGCTATATAGAACATGGGAAATTTCATTCATAATTGAAAATTGCCAAACAATAGAACAATAATTTGATAAATCAAGAAAGTCGCAATATGTTTGCTATCTTCTTGACAAGTTGCCACTAAATCCAAAGTTGTAAACAAGTACACTAAACTTTCTTAAATTATAATTTAAACTCCATTTTAATTGAGTCTTGAAATGTTAGTATCATACTAATTATATCATTATGTTAGTCTAATTGATAACTAATTAAATTAGAACTTTGTAGTAAATTAACCAATTAAGTATATATATCTGCCGACCACATTTAATATCAAGACAGTCGCATGGACCTTGATCCCTGGGTTCCCTTTTGACATTGTTGTGCACCATTAATTGGATTTTGAAAAAGTTTTGGCGCAACACATTTTAGCCTTCAATTATGTTTGCTACACCTACTAGTCTCCTACGTCGGCTATTCCCCCCACTTTTTAGTCATGGATAAGTCAGCCTCAGCTCTTTAATCATAATCATCTCTCCTCACCTAATCCTAACCAAAACCAACTACCAAATCCGTTTATGGTTAAAGTTTAGTATTTTTAATTTTAACTCAATATAAAAATAAGTGTTTAAATTATATTATTTTTTAAAGTGGTGTCAATTTTTCTTGGTCAATCTATGTACCTAACGTTACAAACGTTATCATTTTAGGTGTTTGGGTCATAACCGCCATTAAAAAACTTCATTAAGTAATATGTGTCACGTTTTGGTAAATTTGATTTTTTTTATAAAAATAAAAAATAAAAATATTATTTATTAAAAAACCCAAAACTTTCAGAAATATTAAGAAAAACCAAAAAATTTGAAAACCATAACTTTAGTCTGATACCTATGTCGACTGACGTTGCGGTCAATTGAGCCTACCCCCGAACATACCTCCACCCGACGATCATTTACCCCCGAACAATCACCCGAAAAACACACCCTGATGATGAAATCAACGGTAAACCCGACGAAACGATGAACTCGATTCAACTCTCGTCAGCTCCGGTTGTGGTGGCTCTTTGTTGGGAAAATTATCGTCGGGTGGAGGTTCGATCCATGGTAATGGCGGAGGCCAGAGTGAGTATAGGGATTAGATTTAGGATTTTTCAAAGTTTGGGTTTTTAAAAGATTTTCGCTTTTTTTATTTTTTAAATATAGTTTTGAGTTGTTTTTTTTTAATTCAAAATTATCAGAATGTGAGACGTGTCACTCAACAGTGAGATTTAATGTCTGTTACGAACCATGCACCTAAAGTGGTAATTTTTGTAACGTTAGGCACCTGGATTGATAAAAAAAAGTTTAACCTTCACTTTGTAAAAAACACTATAGTTTGAGTACTTATTTTTATATTAAGCCTTTAGTTTTTTACTTCAATTAATTATCTTTTACAAAAGCTAGAAATTTCATCCTTTGGCTCGGCAGTTGCCACCCGATTCATTTACAAGCACGCACATATATCAAACAAACCAAATGCTATAAATAATTTGATATTGACAAGGTTTTTTTTTTTTACTTTTCTTCTTTATTTATTTGAAAATGAAAGATGAGTGGTTTGGTTGATTATGGTGAAGAAGAGCAAAAGAGTTGCACTCAAGGTATCCATAATTGGAGGGCGACAGTGCAGCATATTTAATATTCAAAACAACACGTAAATGCTTTGTTGTTTTGTTTTTAACCGG